ATCCGTGTTTAGTTTTGCGGATTTCCGTCACAAATCCCTCCCACATTGTTCCCTCCACCCTTTTGTGAATGTTGCAGTTTCTCCATCTTTAATTCCCCTAAAACCCCTAAAGCCTCTCGTTCCGCTGTGAAGGGGAAAAGCTTGTGTTTGTGAGCACTCATGCACGAGCGTTAGCCAGCATCCTCGGCCGCCTGGTAGGAGCAGAAGTAGCTGTAGAGGTTGTGGTGGTGGATGTTGTCTTGCAGTCGTATGTTAGCATCAGAGAACATCGTTGTGTTGACTCTTTCGTCGCTGGTGATTTTCAGGGCACGTCAGGACCCGACCCCACAACTGTGTTCGTTGACATGAGAGCGCTTCGGCACGACAGGTGAGACAACACAGAACTGTCTCCAGTCCCGGAATCAACAACCATGTCACTGTGTTTGATTCTTAGTCCCTCGGCACAGATGAATCGAAAACAGTTTGTTCACAGACTCGTTTTATTTCCTACTGTTGCACAGGGTCCGATTAGTAGAGCGGGGATCACCACACAGCCTGCCACTGATGGAGTCTGGGAAGGTGAGTGTTTTAATGTGTGTGTGTGTGTGTGTGTGTGTGTGTGTTTGGATGTTACTGCAGACTGTCACTCTGCTCTGTTCTGGTCGAGCAGATTCTACCGGGGGTCCGAATCATCATCGCCAACCCGGAGACCAAGGGACCAATGGGAGAGTCACATCTGGGAGAGGTTTGTCTGAGCTTCAACACAGATCAATTACAGTCCCGGTTTTCTTTTTCCATGAACATAAAGATCGCAGACTGTGACGCTGAAGGGAGGAGATGAAGACTTCAGAGCAACTCATGGAGTCGTTAGAAATAAAATCAGTTGTTGCGACAGAACTTTTATCGTTTCGTGTCGGAGGCAGTTTCCGTTTTTCACAGGATAGATGTGAAACCTGTGTTTGTAGATCTGGGTGCACAGCGGCCACAACGCCAGCGGTTACTTCACCGTCTACGGAGACGAGGCGCTGCAGTCGGACCATTTCAACTCCAGACTCAGCTTCGGGGACACACAAACCGTCTGGGCTCGAACCGGGTACCTGGGCTTCCTCCGCAGGACCGAACTCACCGACGCCAGCGGAGGTGAGGACGTGACGGAGCTGATCGGGGCAGTCAGCTCGTCGAATACTGTCCATGTGTTATAAGCAGTCTACGGCGTAGAGTGACGTTAGAAAACTTTGTGTTCATCCTACCTGGTTTGGTCTGCATTGTGTGTGTGCGTGTGTGTGTGTAGAGCGTCATGATGCCCTGTACGTGGTCGGCGCTTTAGAAGAAGCCATGGAGCTGAGAGGAATGCGTTACCACCCCATCGACATCGAGACCTCCGTCATCAGGACGCACAAGAGCATCACAGAATGGTGAGAAAAGCATCATGTGGCCATGTGATGTCACATCCAATCATCCAATCAGAGCAGACTGGGCTTTATGAGGACACGTCTTAAAGGGACAGGAGCTAAAACCATGAGCGTCTTGGACGTTGTTTTTTTTTAACCCTGAATAATTTTCAATCGCCACGTTCTCACTGGCTCCGATTAATCGAGAGTAAAAAATATCCCCCCCCCCCCCCGATCACACCTTCGCAAATGTTCGTGCTCATAAGAACAAAAACATCTACGAGGTCCCATGTGTGTGTTTTCGTCCTCTGTGCCTCCAGCGCCGTGTTCACGTGGACCAACCTGCTGGTGGTGGTGGTGGAGCTGGACGGCTCGGAGCAGGAGGCCCTGGACCTGGTCCCCCTGGTCACCAACGTGGTGCTGGAGGAGCACTATCTGATCGTGGGTGTGGTGGTGGTGGTCGACATCGGCGTCATCCCCATCAACTCCCGCGGCGAGAAGCAGCGCATGCACCTGCGCGACGGCTTCCTGGCTGACCAGCTGGACCCCATCTACGTGGCCTACAACATGTAGCGACGGACGAAGGATTACTTCGTGAGACGCAGATTTACCACAAAGAACGAGTTGGAACCAGAGTTTCTGGTAAAAGGGGAGGAAATAGTATTTTTTTTGCCCCAAACTTTGTCTCTCAGGCAACACGTTATCCCAGCGTATGTATCGAGTGTTGATATTAGAGTTCAGGTTGAGTTCAGGTTGAGTTTTGGTCTGAAGGAAGTGAGATTTGCACTGAGAAGAAAAGCAGCCAACACCTTCCAGGGCGAGAGAGTGTTCAAGGAAACAGATGCAGAAGAGGACAATCGTTAACGTAGCAAAGATTCTGGCTTTTAAAACGACATGACAACTTTGTTTTGTTTGTTTCTAACCCACGATCTAAATTTTAGGTTATTTTTCAAAAAAAGCTAATTTCCAAGAAAAACCAAAAGAAACTGTGGCAAAAATTATATTTTAAGTTTTTATGGTATCAACCATCAGAAAGTGTGAGATATGTTTTGATACGAGGGTCAGAGGGCGTGAATCAATGAGGTACTAACAGTTTGTGTCATGTGAGCTAGTTTTTTTTCGCCTATTTTTTTGTAAGTGTACGTTTTTTTTTTAAATTCGTAATTATTTCCTGAACCGTTTGTCGCCTCTCAGCAGGAAATCAGTTTGCTAACTTTCATAAACTAACGGCTGCAGCCTTCAATGCCGTTTAGTTTTCCGTACAAACCGGCTTCGACTGACGCGAAACACTTCATAAATTCATATCATGTAAGTATGTACAAAAAGAAACTGATTAATTTATTTTGTCTCTTTTAGAAGTATATGACGAGACGTTCAAGAATGTTTTGCTCTTGAATATTTGCTAATATAAAAAACATTGTATTATCATGAGTGACACACTCACATTAAGCATATTATGGAAAATAGAAATATATGATTATAGATAATATTAAAAGATGAAACGATTCATCGCGGACAGAAGCAGCTTCACACTTTTTATCTGCATGTTGGTCTGAAATGTTTGAGTCAGCCCGAAACAAGAGTTTCATTCCCGTGAAGAGTTCTGAACCAAAATAGTCATTCCTTCAAATTGTACTTTCAATTTGTAATCGAGTAATATTTCTCTTGAATTCACAACACGAATGCTGAAACGGTGTAATGTTGTCTCTCTGTTGACCAAGACATCTGGAATATCCCAGTTTTTGCTGTTGTACTTCATGCAATTCTACTTATCAACAGCCGGCGGCAGTAACGGGCTTAAACGCAGCACGAAGAGCGCTGAACGATTTAAAAAAAGTTTGTTTTCAGGATTAAGGATATTGCTGACCTCTAGTGGCCACCAGGGGGAGACCTACAACAATACCGTCCTATTCAATTCTTATCATCTTTACGTTTCACTTTGGATCAGAACTCTTCCGATAAACTCAAATGTGTTAGGGAACAAACCGATCTTTAAAATGTGATGAACAGGAAAGTGAATCACGACGAGACAAGTTGTCATTTCTCCGTCATCACGGGATCGAAACTCCTCGGTTCAAACGGAGCGACAGTCGTTGAAAAAACATGAATCCCTCATCAACACCTCGGAGTGCCCCCCCCCCCCCCCCCCCCCCCCGACATGGCAGGAAGTGGAACAGCTGCTACGACTGTAAATATCAGAGTCAGACGTCTGTCATATTTTTTACATGGATGGATCAGGGCTCATTACAGTGATGTCACACCAGGAACAAAGACTGAACGAAACAGGAAGCAGAAGGCGAAGGAATTTAACCCCCGGGACGCTTTCACTGGTTACAGAGCTGTGGAGAGGTCAAAGGTCGGAGGAACACAACCTCCAGTCTGTGATTCAAGAGAATGTTCAAGTTCAACATCAGGATTTTTTTAAGAAAAAGCACTTTCTTCACCTTTTTTTCTCCTTTAATCAGTGAAATGTTTTTTTTTAAAGGTTTTAAAAATGTCTTATTTGAGTTGACAGAAGTCTTTCAATCAAATAAATATTTCAACATTTTGACAATAAACATGTTTGTCTTATTTCCTGTTACATTTTGGGGTGAAATTAATATATTTATATACTTCACATCAGGAATCTCAATTTTATCTTCAAGTAAAAATAAATCTAGTTTGTAGAAGCAAAACATGTTACTGCAATTTACTAGTAAGTACTTTTAAGTTCAAATACGTGTTTAATATTGTTATTGGTATGAAAACAATTTGAATAATGTTAAACACGTTTCAACAGGAGACATAATTGTTAAATGACTCCCATCGATAAACACTTCGGAGTAATGATATGTTGTTAATCATACTCACTTTATTAAAATGTGTTGATAACATTTATATATAAGTTCATAAATATAAAGGAGTCATTTGCTGGAACAGACAAATGTTGAAAATTGCTTTGTTTTTTAAGTTTATGTTCAAATTGATTAACAATCAACGATGAACTTAATTAAAATATCAAATCTTTTTGAATCACATTTTTCGGGTTTTGAAGTTTTGATATTTTGGGTTTTTCTCTTTTATGTTTGTGTTGTTTGATTAATTTATGGCACAAAGTTTGTGGTTTATAATAATAACACCAGTACTTTCTATGCTTTAATGCATTTTTAATTTCTTAGAGTACAAATACTTATTTGACATTTTTAAATAGTATATTTTTCTTTTATTTCTTACATTTCTATACTATGATGTACAAAACAACTGACATCTTAATATCTTACTATAATTTTCTGAGATTATAATACCTTACTTACGAAACCATGTCTTATTATACTATGACATTTTACATTTTTTATGCCTTACAATACATTTTCTGAATTATTTATTTTATTACATAGATATCTATATTTCTATATCTAAATAGGTATATATGTATCTATAGATATATGTATTGTGCTTTACTATGACATTTTTATGCTTTACTATCCTAGGATTCTATAATATGACGTGTTTCTTACTATACAATGATGTTTTTGAAGCCGCGACAGAAAACAGCAAGAATCATGTTTAAGCTTTTTTTCAGAGACGATATAATTTTGACCCAAAAACAAACCCATCAAAAAGCAGAGACAGGATTTTTGATACATTTATTTCCTCCATGTTAGCACGTAGAATATATTTATATACATATTGCTAGCTACAGCATCAAAAAAAGAAATATCAGGAGCATAGAAAATGTTAAGCCACGATTAATAGTTTACATATGGACAGAACAGAAGAACATGATCTCCAGGAGATGAGGACAAAACCGATTCTCAACTAGAATTATTCCAGTTAAAAGTTCATATACTCTGTAAGTATAAGCAGGTTTTCAAATGGTACTCACACCGCATCATGTACGTAGGGAATAGAAACAGTGAAAAGTCTGGGTCTGGTCGACCGTGTCATCGATTTACTGAAGTTTCAAGCAGAAACTGATTTTAAGATGTGATCTAGCTGAAGTGAATTTCCCCAAAAAATAAAAAAAAAGCATCATTGTCATATTGCATTACTCTGAGGAAGTGCAAAAGTCTCTTCTTTACACAAGGGAGAACAGAAAAAGGAGCCACTGATACACACCGTTACTCATGCAGTTTAAAACCAGAGATACAAACTGGAATGACATCAATTTTCTTTTCCACACAGCGGAAAACAAACTAAATTCACACTGAAATCTTTACGGCTGGATGGACGAATATAAAAAGAGTAAAAGAGAAGCAGCGGCTTCGCAGGTCACATAAAATGTGTCATGCATTTATTAGTTGGTTTTCAACAGTCTGTTAAAAATCAACACATCGAATCATTCGGATACATCGAAGGTGCAGTGTGGTTCACGGCGTTCAAAAATAATTTTTAAAAAAGAAACTGAAAGACACACATGCTGAAAGTGACACGCAGCTCCGTGTTGTGGTCACAGAGTTTAACGTGATAACGGTTGTACATTGTACAAAACTAAAACTAACAGTCATCCAGAAGAGAACAGCTGAAATCGAGTATTTGTGAATTCATTTACAATGTACATACAACGTGACGGAGACAGTTTATTTACATGTAGTGCAATGACGACGAAAAGAAAACGTTTGATGCTGAAACTCGGAGGAGAACCGCGGTGAAACATGAGATGAGACGACAAACAGCAGCAGAACGGTACGACGACGCGTGACGCGCTAAAGTGACGCGCTCGGACGAATTTCAAAACAAAGACAAAAGATTAGAAATAAAGTCGTGAGCGTAAATTCTGTGATAGTGGACCAACAACAATAATCACATCTTTCGCTCTGACACCTTCGTGATTTAGAAGTTCTGATTGGAGCTTCGCTGTTGTCCGCACTTTTACAGAAAAAGCTTCACGTGAGTCGAGCTGTTGCGACGACACCGTTGTTGTCGGCGGTGATGTGTTCGTTCATCGTCGTTTATTGAACTCAACACTCCTCGCGCAGCTTCCGTCCTCCAGAGAGACCGGACCTGCTGCTAAAACGTCCCACAACCAAAGCTGCGTAACAGTGTGAGCCAAAAATTCTATATTCTGTCCAGGTGATCGATCGAACCCTGTTTCAGTTCAGAGACGGGGCGGCCCACAGGTGACGCAGCCTCGGCCACAGACTTTAACTTCCTGCATCGGTGAAATCAGGATTCCAATCTCCCAACTCGAAACGTTTGACTTTTTAAGCTTATGTGGTATAATTGGAGGCATTACGTTCATATCCTGTCGTCGTGCACGCTCGCACATTTAGTCAGAAGTGAATCTGACGTGTCGGGTTTCACAGATGCAGGAAGCTGAAGTAAGAAATTCAAACTTGTTCTTGCGTGAGGCTCGTTGTGTTTCGCCTCGGTGAGGTTTTTATTGAGCATTTTGACTTCCTGTGGGTACAGAATGAAAAGCAACATCAATATATAGTTCTTAACGTACACACTGTCGAGCGGGCACACGGCACAAGTTCACCACCTCGACTGAGAGTTCACTTTTCATGTACGACACAACGAATGTGACAAGATAGAAATAAAAGCCTGGCTCCGCCCACTATGTGAAAATGCACAGTACTTTATTTTCCACGTCACCAGAAGCACAAACCAATGCGGGTTTAAAAAAAAAAAGAAAAGTATCTGTACAGAGAAGATGAATGATTTTCCTCTGTTCAGTCGATCTTCATAACTGAGGAAACAGTCAAACTTTAAAAGTGTCACACAAATCAAAACCTGGCAATCTGATTGCCGCATCGAGGAAGAAAAAAAAAAAATCCAAGCACCAAAGGTTTAAACAATCGACCTCCATCGCAGAGAGAAGTTTAGAAAAGATGAATTTGATCATTCACATTTGCATAATGTTTTATATTGGTCCATCCGTCTTCACTGTTAAACACCAGCGAACTTCTGGTTCCTTATTTTTTCCTTGTTTGCTTTTTCCGCAGCGAATGAAAAAAAAAAAAGACGATGGAACTATCAACATGCACGTGACCTCAGCGGAGGCGAGAGGGTGAGAAAAGAAAAGAGAAACAGGCACTGACCGACAACTACAGCATAAGCAGTGAAAGAGTCTCATAGCTTTACTTTACACTTCAGATTTAAAAAAGGAAAAGATGCATTTCGAGTGTACATCACTTTAAAAATTACACTTACGACGCTCGGAAAATATACAAAGCGAGGGGGGGGGGGGGCCCCCCGGGTTTTTGTTTTTTTTCTGGGGTCGGGGGGGGGGGGGGGGGGTTATTACACACATTTGGGCTGTTGACAAAATGAAATGTGCAAAAAAACGAATGTGTAAAAACTGTCAAATCATGGAACCTCTCTAAGATCCAGCTCAAGAAAGATTGTTATACATTTCCCCAATTAAAAAAAAAAAGAAGAAGATCTTTCACATTTAATTTGAATACCTGACTCATAAAAATGTGTCTGTTTAAAAAAAAGGAAAATTGCATAATATTAATATCAATAATAATAGATGGAAGATTTTTTTGTCGGCGTCTTTTAAGGCCGAACTCATGACCCTGTTTCCCAATATGCCTTGATTTTAGGTAGAAATGATAAAAGGTGCGATTCACCACAAACACCTCGTGAAAAGAAAAAGCGAGTGCGCCACATCGTCCACAGTTCAATTCCTTATGCAGTTTTTTGTTGTTTTTTCAAGAAGTTTTCTCTATGAAAGCGGAGCTAGCTCGATGCTGCAGTACTTACAGTGGGGTTCGACAGTTGTGTGTTTGTTGCATTTACAGTAAGAAAAATGACTCTTTAAAAAATTCAGGTAATAAAATGTTTTCTGTTAATGCTCATCTGTTACTACACACTTAAATAACACATTCTCTGACACGAGCTCAAAATTAGCACTTCAGTAAAGAAACAGAAAGATTTAAAAACATACAAATCGGACCAGGACTCCGATCTGTTCATGATTCAGAGAGACAGAAATTAAAAAATGAACAAAAGCACGGAAAGACAAATCAATACAATGGGTACATTAAATAACAGAAACAAAAAGAGAACGACTCGCTCTTCTCAAGCAGAAATACGGGTCCACAAAGTTTTCAGGAAGGCAAGTAGAGAAGCAAGAAGATATGTGTGTGTGTGTGTGTTGTAGACACTGACTGACAGGCGACGGAGAGGGCGAGAGCCATTGGCGTGCTGTGCAGGGGTCAGAGAGGGCGGGGCTTGATCGTTCATCTCTTCCTGCGGCAGGTTCGTTTGTGGTCGGCGTGCCAGTGCTCCTGCTGACACTTGATGGAGCAGTACGAGGTGTTCCAGCAGCAGTGGTACATGGCCTCCTCCTCACAGTTATAACACTGCCAACAACACAAACGAGTGCGGTCACCACCTCAGCCACAACACGCGAGTAAAGTTTGTTATCATCCGCTGTCCGGAGTTTAACTTTCACACGTGGAAAAAAACACAGCAGGAGATTCTCCAGTCAGACGAGGTCACAGAGGAATCGGCGGAGCGCTCGGGAGAGAGGTGGACGTAACAAATTAATTCAGCGACAGAGAGCACGTGTTTGTTTTGTTGTCACGTCGTCTGCTCTTATCACCAAAAATTCTAATCTCGTCTTTCCAAGTCGATGTCTTGACGTTTGCTTTTATTCAGATTAGCGTTTGTCCAGATAATCTCCTGCTGTGTTCTCACTCTGCTGAGTTTTTACTAAGGGGCTGGAAACTCGTGTGTCCGCAGCAACTGACTGATAATGACGAGGTCGACATCATATCTCAGTTTTTATAATGTTGGCACCAGACAAAATGAAAACCCATCCGGGTTCTGACGCGTGTGCTGTCGATGCAGAACTCACCCACTGTTTCTTCTTGGTCTGGGAGATGAGCTGTTTGTGTTGGGCCACCAGCTTCTTCACCTCCTCCACCAGCTCCTCTTTACACTTCTCCTTCACCTGCTTACACTTCCTCTCCATCTCCGCTTGAGATCCGGCCACCGCCTTACTCACCGCCTGCCGCTTCTCCTCTTCCATCTCTGCACGGAGCTGAAGCCACAGAGACGTACAGGACACGCTGGGTTTTAATCTCATGCAGGTTCCGAACCCTCAAAGAGCAAATCACTGCAGTTTCCTCGAGTTAATCTTTTTGTCATTAAAATGCAAACACACCTTTTCCAGAGCTTCTCGGACGACTCTCTCTGTTTCCCTCTTGTTGTCCGCCTTCATCATCTCTTTGACGTCGTTGAAGACCTTGGTGTATTTCTCGTGGCACATGTTCTGGCAGGCGCCGTCGCTGTTGGTCTGGGTGCCGCGGTGCAGCGTGCGCGGCGACCCTCCGCTGGCCTTCTTGGTCTGCGTCGACACCGACAGCTTCTCGGGCTGCTGCGGCGCTGAGGACACGGGAATCTCCTGGCTGGAACTCACTGCCTCCATCTCGGGCTCCGGGTCCTGGAGGAGAGAGAGTGTGACAAACTAAACATTTCTAAGCGTCTTGGAAAGGATGATACAAATATTGGCTTTGATGCCGTTATAACAACTAGAAGCACTCGGAGAGGACACCCCTCCACAAAATGTCATTAAAACCAGTTCAGTACTTTTGTGAGTCGTCCTGTTAACTGACGAACAAATGAACACCAATGAAAACAACCTGTAACCTAAATATTTACCGTCGCATTGTTGACGAACAAACTTACACTGGCTTCCTCTTTAGGTTCAACCATTTGAGACCGACGACTTTTCTTGGCCTTTGGCTCCTGGCTGCTTTTGAGCTGGAAGGGGGAAAAAAAAAAGGTAAAATTCAAATAATCATTTGTCCCTGAAGCTGAAGATTTTAAGAAATTCTTCAAAACTCATGTGGATGAATGGTGTAGTTGCCCAGTCTTCGGTTCACAAAAGTAATGGAATAAATATGAAATGATAGAAGTGTTTTGAGTCACTCTAACTCAAACTGGAGCAGAATAATGACTTAATGTTAAAGATCAAGCTTGATGGACGTGTTCAAATGAAAAATGTATAAAGAAACATCTGAACTGAGACTGATTAAGATGCGTGGGTGTGTCCTTAGACCCCAGTTAATATCTAAATCTATTAATACTAATCTACTCATTGAAGGAAGTGAAGGTGGAACATGTTACGCCGGCAGTTTGGTCACCAGATGGCACTATAAGACATGTTTGATGTACACGGTGAGAGTGAACTCCCTGTTTCAACTTTTTGTGTCATTTTGCTTTTTAGTTTCAGGTGAAATCATCATGACCGTACTCACATGTCGGACCTGCTCGTTGCTTGTGGAGGAGATGCTGGACTCGGCTTCGTCTGTCCGCTCCAGTCTGTCTGACCTCACGCCGCCGCCACCCTCCTCCTCCTCCTCCTCCTGCTCCTGCTGCTGCTGCTGCTGCTGCCGCTGGCTCTGTTGATGATGCTGGTGTGGCGGGCTGCCGTCCTCCATCTTTGCTTTCCAGTAGCGTCCCTCCCTTAGGAAACGCTGGTAAACCTCAAGCTCCTCGCACGCCTTCTTCCAACCATTGCTGCGCTTCACCTGCAGCTGCTGGACACTCACCTTGATGTCCTGTATGTTGTCTGCGGGAATCCACGCTCTGCAGAAGACAGGGACATAAAAGTAGTTGCGTTGCAGAGCAGCACGGCACCATTTAAAAATAAGTTTCAGTCCTGCTGACGGGACTGGAACTGTTGGACCGACTAATCAGAAAAGTGATGCTGTGAACTGTGATGTCTTCCACACGGGCTGACCTCTGATGCTGGTGTCCAAAGAAGCGCACGTCCACCTGGTTGTCCTCCCTCTGCAGTACTTTGGCCGGCCAGTAGCCAAAACCCTTCATCTTTGCCCAGACCAGGTCATGACTGGGGCTCTGCCAAGGTAACACACAAACACAGACACACACACACACAAAAAGAAACCTGTTAGACTTCTAACAAGAACACTATACCAGAATTGTTTTGGTTATTTGAGCAGGTTGCTTTTCATGCCAAAAATGTATTATTACCAGATTCCTGCATGAATTTATGAATATATATATATCTATATATTAAAACTGTTTTCACAGGGTTACGTGGGCCACTTAATACAAATAATACTGTAATACTACAACTGCGTCCATGCATCTGTCGTTGTAGAAAACAACAATAAAACACTGAGGTGAAACATCCTGTTGCTGCGTCGGTTCAGAGAAGCTGCAGTTCGGCCTGGCACAGTGGGCCTGTACTCACACAGGGGTAACAGAACCAGTTGTCGGGCCGGGCGTTCGACAGGTAGAAGCAGTTCTTACACAACAACAACTCGTTCAACTGGAAGAGAAAAAGAGGGGGAGGAAAGATATGATATGGACTCATTAACTCAGAAACTTAATGTCACTGCTGTGAACTGTGCAAGAAAAAAAACTAATGAGACGGGTGTACCTCATGGCATGTGTCGCTGAAGAGCAACCGTGCGATCTCTGCCTGGTCGCTGTGAACTGCACACAACAAAACACACCATTAAAAATCAAGTCACACAGAAAAAACATTATGTGACCTTCTCAACTTTGACTCACCCCCATACAAGATGGAAGTGTTGTGAACAATCAGCTGAGCGTCTGCTTTGAACTCATCAAAGTTCTTATACTTTCCCTCAGACAGGTTCTGAAAGAAAGACAAACCGACAGACACATAAGATCAAGTGATCTACAGAGGTATAATCACATGCTGAGTGTGTTTTGTTCAGTAAAGGGCGACTACTTTATTCCCGCATTTACCCAAATTGTGACCAAGGACTTAATTTACCTGATCTGCAGAGGGTAACAGTCTTGTATTAGGGAAAGAACTTCAAGCATAGACTGTAAATAAAGATGGACGATGCGTCTCCACTTCCTCCCACTATCCAGAAATGGAGACAAAATATCCAGGGTACGAACGCTGCCATCTGGCACCGCTGACGTCATTTGGAGTCTGTGTAGTAGTGATGAGGGGATGGAGATTTTTAGTTCGATCCCCGTCCCATCCAAGAACACGGAGGAGGCGGGTTTATGACCTATATTGCAGCCAGCCACCAGGGGGGGGCGATCAAGACGTTTTGGCCTCACTTTTGGAGAGCCATTATATTGTCTATCTTTATATACAGTCTATGACTTCAAGTTTATTGGTAGCATTTGGACACAAAGCCAGATTTGAACTTGTGTCCTCATACCCCCCCACCCACACACACACACACACACAGTTGAAGCGAGTATAGTTTGAGGCAATTGGTGTAATATAAAGTAACCCTTATCACCAAGTCATGTCTTCTAAAGTAAATGTGGGGAATTGTCTGAATTTTTAAATATAAATAAATCAATAAATAAATATGAAAACCTCACTCCCTTAAAGGAGAGCGGAGCTTAACGAGGCGACGTCTGGCTGTTACCTCTTGGATGTTGGAGACGTCCAGTGCAGTGTGGATCAGCCGTCTGTACATGGGATGTTTAATGTCTTTGCCTTTCTTGTTCAGGTCCACTGCCTGCAATGGAGACGAATGAGCAGTGGTAGTCTGTGTTACTGATGTTACAGGGTTCAGTCACACTCACATTACATCACTGTCTATTTCTTTATTAGAGATATAAAACCTGTTCGCTCCATTGCTGTGCATCAGCGGTAGCGCCCACATTGACCAACAAGGATGAGGAGGCTTTGGTTTCCAGGTCAATTGTCAATATTTTGGATCTAACCCCAATTTAAACTGATAATATTCTGCCAACTTCTGATGGAGGTGGCAGCGTTAGGAGCTAATACTTCTAATCACAGGGAATATTTCCGACAAACGACAGCAGAACTGTTCTGCGTCTAAGCTCCAGGTTCATTACTCCCCCGGATACGATAACATATATATGAATAAATGCATCACTACAATATACCATGGGGTAGAAATAAATGTTTGATCTCACCCTCTCCTTCATACGCTGGACGATGAAACGCAGGTATTTACACATGTCCTGTTTGTTCAGGTTCTTCTTTTTACTGCCCTGCAGGAAGGAAGGAAGGAAGGAGAGAAGTTTAGAATCGAGGCCACTTCTGACCTGACCTTCAAACACACACTTACAATTTAATAAACATTTATTTTGGCCCATTACAGGGACGGAGTGTCCTCAAAAGTACAAAAGCAGAACGGATTCAAAAGTTTACTACTTGTTGACAAAGATCTCAAGGGTCTAGTCCATTTTTTTAGAACATAGACTTCACGCCCTCTCGAACTATCAATAGAGTAAATCAATAATGTCTCATTGTTTTTCAAACGAAATGTTGGACACAAGCAATCAAACTTATGTCCGTTTTCTCTTACTAAACCCAACTCTAACCTTTATACTCCAAAATGTCATTTTTTCCCAAAACAGTGATCACAACAATAGACATAATGGAGCATTTAGAGTTCATACACTTTGTAGTTTGACCACCTACCCTGCAGGCGGCGCACTGCCAGTGCGATCCTCCATCTCTGGGCTTGCACTCCTCCGACAGACACTTGAGATGGTAGACTCGGAAGCAGTTGTCACACATGAGGATGTCGCCCGGTAGGTGACACTCGAAGCAGTACCAGTCGTGGCTTTCTGCCTCCCAGTCCTGCAGGGAAGACAAGGCACAGCACAAGTTTGGGTGACCCCCCCCTCCAACCCGCCAACCACAGCAGGGGAGGAAACAATATTTTCTGTGTTGGGTTACAACTTCCTTGCCCAACTCAACAACTGAGAGTAGAGTGCATAACTCCACCGAGGACCAACAGATAGATTCAATCAAGTTGCACCAAAAATTCACAAACTATCAGTCAATATGTCTGACTTTAAAAAAAACATCCATGAAACATCTCACAATGTTAAAGAAGGTGAAAAAGAAAATCCAGGATCTGCCCCCTGATCCAGATGTTTCATGGAAATCTACTCAGTGGTCTATTGTGTATTGTTGTATACTATTACAGAAGTAACAGAAGTTAAAGTTAATATAAAGTACTTGTCTTTTTCGATTAAATGCCTTTTTAAAAATAATACTAACACAAACATGTTGCAGTAGTTCTGTCTTAGGACTCATTCTCTGCAGTGGATTCAAGTAAACAGCACAGAGACAGAAAGCATGCACCACTAAACATCCTTCTACTTATCAACCTGTCAAGAGTCCAACTCCTCCCACTCACAGTCTGGACGACTCAGTAGGGGAGAGCAGAAGAGTCGTGACCATGCGCCATTCAATATAAGCCAGAAGAGAACAGAACCTTGGTGTCTTCCTTGATCCGTTCTCCACGTTGTTATGTGCCGTAGCTTGAGGATCATCTTTCAGGAATGCACTTTCCCAAATAACACTTCTGAGTCTTTGAACAGAATTCGTGGCACGTGAGAACAATCCTGAGTTTTTGTCTGTTTTGCTTTTCAGCCAAGTCATCAGAAAAGCCTTGACCGTACCTCATTCAGATCAATTCTTATTAGCTGGAGCTACTTGCCCTTAACCCATAGCCTAACTCACACTGTGTGTTTGCATTCCTGCAATGCAAAGTACCACACGCTACGTGGGAGTGGCCTTGGTCAGATCACATTCTCGCTCTCTAGGTTCGTTTAGGGACAAAGACTGTGAATACAGTAGAACATCTGTGTTCACATATTCCCAGATGAACCGAAGAGAAGGAGGAAAATTTACCAGGGGCATAAATTGAATTCCGTCCATAGATGCCTCAGATGAGTTCCCTACTTCTCAGAGTGTAATAGACTCTTCACCCACACAAACACTTGACATTACAGAGCCGGTCCTTGTGTTCTGCCGAGTGTCAAGAGCCTCTTCAATGTTGTGAAAGACAAGTGGCTGACTTCAAAAGGCTGGAGCCCTCTTAGCCAAGGACACCGCGTCTGCTTTCAGCAAAGCAAGTTTCAACAACAGCGTGGACAGAATTAGGCCCAAGCACGACAGACATTATTACAGCAACATGACGTCTGAGGGGCAGAAATGTCCCTCACTGCTTTCCATCTCGGGTTAAAAGCTCGACACGGTCGGCGTCAAGCTGAGATACGTCAGAGAGCCGAGTGAGCCTGACCATCATGTGCCTTCTAATGACCTACACAAAACAACTCAGAGTTCATCTCAGCCTCCTGCGCAAACACACTGCTTCACTTGTAGTCTGATGTATTCTTAAAACCCTTGCCACGCTCTTCACATTTAGAAGCTCGTAGAGAAATCAATTAAGTTTTAAAAAACAACGTCACAGAGGAGAGTGTGAAATGGGTTAGTAAATTAAATGGTGTAAAAATGTGTCTTTGGAATCTTGTTTACACTCACTACTGTCAAAGTGCAAAAACACATCAAATAATGTTAATTATCATGCATCACAGGGGCCCAGATTTTAATTAGTTTAGCAAGAGTTATCAACAAAGCGTCCCACCTATTTATGTTAAAGAGAACAATTCATTTAGGGTATGAATTTATAGGCAACGTAATCACTTAATTAAGGACAAACCTGGATTAAATCCAATCTGGCTTGAGACAGTGCATTTTAAATTTATTTTTAAAAGAATTTGGCAGTGTTATTTCCAAACTTCATAATGGGTGAGCAAACGTCCTGTTTAACTGTTTGAGGATCAGATATTCCTCTGGTCAACTCAAGGACACAGCACATGCCAGCTGGACTGAACCCAGGCACCTGCAGAGGGAGAGTTAGCCTCCATCAAACAACTGCTTTATTCTAGTCTCTCCACTGAGTGACTGCTAACCTGTAAAACAACACAACACAAAAAAGAAAATAGTCGGCTGTGTTACTAGCAGCAGGCACGTTTTAAAAACTAAAGAGCACAACCACACAAACTACAACTACCTCCGCCCACCTCCACCCTCCGTCAATGATCGAAAATGAATAAAACAAAGAGCAAATAAGCATGCCAGACAGAGGTCAAGATCACAGCAGCACACACCCCTTCTGAAGAGAAGACCAAACTACTACAAACACACAGATGATTGCTACCTACCGCAACTATGATCGCATTGCTTGTTGTCTCTAAGTAAAATATGATTCAATTAAGCATACTCTGATTACTGTTCATGCTGTGACTTACTGTTGCTGATTCCACGCTGGTTGGTTGTGCCTAAATTTGCCAGGATATCAGATACGGGTACCCGGTTAGACTTTTGAGTTTTGAAAATCAAGCATCACCATCTATAGATAAGTGGCGAGCACTTATTTTTTTTTAATATCACTTATCACTACTGCAAGAAACTCGGCCACATAGACGTAGAGCTGCGATGGACTTTCGTGAAGCTTCTTACAGCATAACTGAATGACAGCACATACATTCCGGCAGTGTGATTAATATTAGAGTGTAGGCCGGCATGCAGAGTCATTCTGCAAATGGAAACTTGATACGTTTTCACCTTGTGTGATAATTTCATTCAAATGCAGGGAGAAGCATCGCCTGGTACAAGATGAGGATTTTTCTCACTACTGGCCCAGAAGGCTTATCATTTAATTGTATACAGCCCACAACCTTTACACTAACCAGAACATACTGTATGCTGTTTAACTTCAGCAGTGTGCATAAAAAGATTCACTCAAATCCATGTCTGTACTGCATGTGGCAGAACAATTTCTCACAGAATGATGTTAGTTGAGAGGAGGGAGGAAAAAATGAAGGGAACAAATGAAGAACAAACCCTGAATTTAAAAATAATGCAGCCCTTACCTTGCTTCCCTCAGCTTTCGGCTCCTGTGATTGAAAGTGATTCAGAGAGTAGTGTTTAAAAGTCCTGCTGCTAAAATGAACTGAGCTCCGCTGGACAACAGTCCTCAGAGGCCATGACCACTTTCCATGACTTCCATATCTCCTTTCAATATGGACTGGTACCATTGTTTCAAGGGCCTGAGTAGTTCATGTTAGACGTACAAAATGAATGTTAAGTCTACCAGCAGTATATTTCTCACTCGTGTTTCTGTAGTTTAATGGATTAAACATAACACTAATATTGCCAGCATGTTAGTACCCTGGTGTCAAAAGCCCTGGGGTTGAGGCTACATGCACTCTTCTACATTTTATTTTTAAAACTTTGAATTTTGTGTTTGGTCCATGTTCCACAAACTAACACGGAGGAGACCGGGTTTCTGTCCTATACTGCACCCAGCCACCAGGCTTCACTTTTGAGGAGCTGTCATGTCATATATCTTTATTTACAGTCTATGATTTTCACTCAAACACCTTAACAATGAGTTTTCTATCTCTGCTGATTGGCTATTTTTTCCTGGATGAGTACTTCATCATCATGGTACAACAGTAATACTTGCTGCATGTAATGTCTGTGTACTGTGACTGTGTTAGCACTGTGTTCACAGCCGGGTCGTTATATCCTCATAAGAATACATGTAATGTTTTCATCAGGACAACTGCGTCAGTAAGTTGTGTTTCCACAAGAGCAGGGCACCAGAATACGTGTCTATGGATAACCACCTTTGTTTGTTATCATATTTGATTTTGAATTAATTCATTAAAACATCATTTTCTACCTCTGTCTTCTTACATCTTACATTATTACTTGTCAAGCACCTCAGTCATAATCTGAAACAGTAATCAGGAAACTAAACCAAGGAAACAATTAATCTGTTGGTAAAATACAAATTAAAAACTGTATCTTAACTATGACAATAAAAATAAGTGAAACATGCATTCTTTCTATGTGCTGTTGAAAAAGATTCAGTGTTTGTTGTTGTTTGTGTTAATAACCTGATTGAGTGGGAATGGACTTGCCATTTCATCCCCCGGTAGCCAGTATCCTTCCTGCTCAATGCCGGCCTTTGAGCCCTTGCAACCAACCGTGAGGGTCTCCACCACCAGGCCATCCTTAACAGCCAGGCTCAGCTGTCTGGCAGTCTCCTTAGGGTGCATACTAAAAACCCGACTCAGGTACCTGCACAGGTGAGAGTGGAAAAGAAATTTAACAATTAGCGACAACAGCTGTGCTCACTTAAAACAAACATTTAAAATCCCAAACCCAGAAACTCCTCACTTGTATGAGTGCAGCAGTTTAAAGGTTTTTATAAGTGAGGTGACACTTACGATCCTTGAACTAGAACGGCACGCAGTAGAGCACATAGCTCCACCAAGACACAACAGGATTCCAAGCCAAATCCATCATGTTTGTTTGGACATAGTTCAAAACCGTGACAGCATCCATCTAAAATGTAGGTTCTGCACTGAATCTGCGGTATCTCAGGTACACATTGGTGGTAGTTTCAGGTTTGCAACCATATTTTTTACAGTACAGCGGCTGAAAAAAAAGCCCACAGCCCTATAACAACCTCATTAACTTTACTAGATCCAGTCTTTTATTTGGATCTACATCCCTAAATATGCATGTATTCATACAGATTCCATGAATTATTCCAATCTGTGAAAATGTCCAAAGATGTCCAAAAAATCTTTCTTGGCCCATGCCCCATCTTTCCAACAAGTTTTGTGGAAATTCCTCAGGTAGTTTTTGCTTAATCCTGCTGAAAGCCAATACTAGATATATCAGTATCCATGTAATCATGTCTATTGCACTGATTTAAGTATCAATTTGGGACTGATCATATATTTATACTCCCAAAAAAAGTGATCTGGGATACATGTGGTGTTTGAAAATATCAAAGCCATCAAAGAAAGTTTTTTTATCATCTACATTTTCACCTGCATTTTCCGGTGTGGGAGAAAATGGGATTCAAATAATGGTTCACTTGATTCCCACAGCTGCCTGCTGACTGGCAGTGAACCTCACTATGCAAGGTCATGTATCCTCGACTGTGCCAGACAGCCAACGAACAGACCATGTCACTGAGTCAGGTGAGTGTCTGTATTTACTCCTGAGTCAAAAATTTAGGCTGACAGCAGCTTTGAGTATCGAGTCAGACAGGAGCTTCTTAAAAGAAATCAGAGTTGCCTTACCAGTCTCACACTACGAACAAAACATTAACTTGGAAATAACATTTCTGTGTATATCTTCTAGCCTGCGATACACAATTAATCCTTTAACTTAAAATCACAACTTTACTCAATAGGTTCTTCTGGTGAGGTAACAGAAAATCTAAGTTTAACTGGCTTTCACTTTTTTACATTTAAACGCAATTACGTAGGGCTGCAAGTAATTATTTTGTGTTTTTACTAGCTGTTTTTTCAATAAATGAAAAATGTTAATTTCCAGTTAGGAGTTCTCTGTGGGAAAGATTTGTTGGGTTTCTCATCTTAATCAGCACAGGTCACATGCATATATCTCAAGAGGTATCTTACAACAATTAGCTTCTTAAATGATTACATAATTGGTTTCAAGTCATCTGACTTCTGTGGCTGTGGCCTCCCTGTATGAGTTGATCACATTTACCTCCAAGTGAGAGGGGACGGTTAATTATTCACCTCAGCCTCACTCTGTTTCTGCAGAAGCAAACTCAACAACCCTCTTAGCCACCAAGCCTGTTGGTGAAATATAGCCACACTGGGACCGGATAGGTCTGAGGTGCTATGAAGAGAGAGAACGCTACCCGGATCAATGTCGCTTATTTCTGTCACCATGACAACAGCCGCTTGTCAGTTTTCATTTGGCAAGGCACCAGCTCCCAAGGTGCTCGCCAACTCATCGTACGAGATGTGCCAAGTGTTTCCTTTAGGCTCTGCTCCATCCTCCAAATGACAGGGATGAGTGAGCAGTGAGGTCTGCCGCAGATAATTTGTCAACAACTTGCATCGTTTGAACAACGTGAGATTCTCCCCACGAATCAAATCATGATCTGTCATGAACCCAAGCTGCTGCAGATTCCATGTCTCCTCCATGTTAGCAGATGACACAGGGACCAAACTAAAAACTCAAGGTACACAAAGATGGTTTCTGTAATTTTAGGTAGTTCTTAAAACAGTGATGTTTCTGATAAATTGGATTTTAATTTGACGATCAAGATTGACTGGCGATTGGTTGAGCGTGCGTATCGGAGGGACCTCCATAACATGTGGCTCCACCCTCACGATTACTACAGTGAAGACTCCCCTAGATAGTTGGTGGTAGTGGAGACACGTGATCCATCTTTGCTTACAGTCTATGTTATATTAAATTATTATTTATTTATTTTTTAATCAAAGCAGATAAAATGAGTGCGAAGAATAAATAAAGACACGTTTTTAGAATCCAACCCTTTAAAGACTCATTAAACAGTATGCTGTGACTATACATCTAATCATACTTGCATTAATGGTGTGAACTTACTTGGAGATCCTGTCCATATTTGCAATTTGTTTCTGGTTGCGGATGACCTCAATGGCTGCCCACACGTACTGGACAACCTTGGGGTCTGCCTGCCTCTTCTTCACCACGCGTGACATGATTTCCTTATTCATGACAACTGTGGGGAAACAAAGACAAAATTTTAATCATCAGTTCCATGGGGTTTTTTTTTTTTTGTGAAATAAAAGTAGATGTGCCAAAATACAAAGGCTACATATACACAACTCCATTTTAATTTTAAAACACATCACTGTTGCTACGTTTACGCCTGCCATCAACAATACTCTGGACTGTTTGAATATCTTGAAATCCAATTTTGCGCGGCCCTCTTCTTAAACATCCATGAAACGTAAGATGTCACTTTCATACATCGCAGTCAAACACGAGCCATATTAATGCTTTGAGCATTTTTATTTGCTGGAATATGCTTGGCTTCCAGGATCTTTGTGGTAGAAGAGGCAGATGACAAATGTCGAGAGAGGATGTTCGTCGTCACACTTTTCTCATGAGCATATGAACTGTGATTTTGGGTAAAAAATAAAAAAAAAACATGATGCGTTTGATCCTGGGAGCAAATTAGCTAAGAATGAATGCAAATGAAACTGACACATCATGTGTTCCATCACAGCCAACAGGCACAACTTATTCACAACCCCACTGGTCAGAGTGATGGATTTTTAAAGGGATATTTCACAGAACAATGAACATTCCCTCATTATCCACTCACCACTATGCCGGTGGAGTGGTGGTTGAAGTGATTCGAGTCCACAAAACACTTTTGTAGTGTCAGGGGTAAACAGCATTGTATCTGAATCCAATACAATTAAAGTATTTGAATGGGTTTACGGACACTTGGATGACACCACAGCAGCAGTATGGAGGCATTTTGTGTTCTGTTCTTTTTATGTATTTATTTTTCTACGTTTGAAGACATCGCCAGTTACTTCAATTGTACTGGATTCTGCTCGAACGCAGTTTACCCCCTGTAACTCCAGAAGTGTTTTGTGGACTCAAATACTTCTACCACCGCTCCATCGGCATAGTGGTGAGTAGATAGCAAGTCACTTTTCATTTTCAGTAAACTATCCGCACAGTTGCCTCTTCACGTGCAGCCCCTCCGGACAGTGTCCACAGATTCTTAGAGAGATCGGTGAATGTCCGGTGGCAGCTTTTCCGTCTTGAGATTATGAATTCTGTGATTTGTCTGTGCACACATACAATTGCATTGGATTGAAGTGCCCTCCTCTGTGTCACGTGTGGTAGGTGTGTGTGTGTGTGAAGGAGGGCCACCTGTGCCGTGGTGTGAAGCCGGCCACACCACACGACGACCGGCTTCTGCAGCAGCCAGCGTGCCCCCCCACTCAATTAGTGAAGGAGCGCGACAGAGGAGGTGAATTAAGACACGCTGAGGTTTCACGGCTCCCGACGTAAACAAAGACACCAAACCGCGCTGCTGCCGCCTCCTTCCAAACCCTGGCAGCTCCCCCGAGCATCAGCACACAACAACAACCATACCCACCGGTTTTAATGCCCATTTAAACAACTCCGACAGTCAGGGTGTCGCGAAGAAACCTCCACAAACCTGTCTGCCGTTCACCGTTAGCCCGCTGGTGGCTAAACGCCTGACGCGGACGAGGGGAGGCAGAACGACCGAGGTGCTCCGGGGAAAGACACCCGCGTTTCCACCATGTGACACAAAACTTCACAACTTATCTGTGACTTAAATGACACACTCGACACAACTGGTGACAAAGAGGCAGCCGAGGAGGGCCACGGGCTCTGCCAGGGGAGTAGCTCCATTTGGCTACCGACTAGCATGCTAGCTAACATCCAAAACGTGACAAGACGAAGGGGGGGTTTAACCGTGACTGTGCAACTTGTAGCGGACAGTGTGCGACGTGTGCGTGTATTTAATTATAACGTAAAACCAAGAACACGCGACTGGAAGTCGATGAGCGACGGGCGAGCAGGCTATCGCGGTGAGTTCATTTTCAGGTAGCCATGCTAGCAGGCTGTTACGTCGCTAGCCGTAGCTGGCGGACTGGAGAACTCAGCCGACTTGACAGCGAACACAAACGAGATTCACAATCGCGACGACGACACGTTGGCATCGTGAGCGCACACGAGGCTCTGCCCGCCGCCGCCGCCGCCGCGAAGTACCGACACCCCGTCGGCTAGCAGGCTACCTGCTCGTTTGTTTTGGAGGGCGCCATGTTCACGGTAACCCTCCATCACGGGATAGGCTAGCAGAGGCTAAGCTAACGGTGCTAACGCCCGCAATTGCTGGGCCAGCTAGCCCGTCGGAGCCCGTGGGGGTTTCAATATAGTCGCAGAGAAAAGTCAAAACCCACCTCGGCTACGGTGTCACGAACACACAGCGCTGCAGGGAACCCGCGAAGGATTGGAGGCGAGGCCGCTTACATCGGTGTGTTTCGGGCTAGTTGAGTCTGCGGTGTGAGTGTGTGTGTGTGGCAGCCGGCCACAGGACAGCAGCGGCTGGGAGGTAAACACACACGACTGAGCCGAGCCACAGGGAGAGCTCCAGCGGGGGAGTCCGACTCACAGCAGCCGACAGCCCGGCACTCAGTAACCGTGGCCACTCCGCCGATTCTACACGTCACACGCCGATTTGCTGGTTGTGTGGGAAGTGTCACTGTGCATGGGCGGATTAACCACCGAGGAGGGCCCCGGGGCAGGACCTCCACAGAACGTGCCACTGACAATACAGCTGCTTCCAGGCGCGCACTGAAGTCCGGCGAGCCTCCGCAGTTTCTCCGGAGGAAGGAGGTGTATGTGTGAACGCAGAGGTCGGGGTCAGAGCCTCCAGAGTTTCTCCTCCCGGCCCCCTTGCATAAATGCTGCGTTGCGTTAAACCTCGGAACTCGGAATTTCCGATCCCCCGAGTCGGAGATTGCAACCGCAGCTCTCCCTCATGTTGAAATTTCGACTTGGAAGGTCAGGGAAACCTCGCCACCCCCAGACTTTGAAATCCAAGATGACCCCTCTGTATACAAACAGTAGAAAGCTGTAGTTTTTAATGCATATAAGCACTTCCCGTGGCAACAGTGGTCGTCATCTTTTCCCTCATCGTTAATAAACACAACGCAGAGTCCAGCTGAAGTTGTTCCGTGACCTGGATCCTCACAGACTGGTTCACAATTGTCTCTGGAGCTGTGGATCATCATCAGCTTGGACACTAGAGGCCGCTACACGTCACAAAGTATGTTCGTTTACTTTCTGTTATCACATTGAATGGAAATGGTAAATATTTGAGCTGACACCCATAAAAACGACGGAATTTGTGCACTTAGTCAATGTTTCGGGAGCGAGGAGAGATGGCGGCGCTCGGTTTGGCTCGACCCGGTTTGCAGTGTGTAGCACGAATGATAGAGACAAAGAGAGAAGCAGTAAATTACTGACAGAGCCACTAAATACTCAAAATTTTGAAAAGACCTAGATTAACAATGTTAGCGAACATGCATGGTCCCTGCCTTGGTGGAGCTGTGGCAGGGCTGTGTGCATGTGACGGCCCCTTAACCCGGTTGACGAGAATTCGTACCGGTTGACGAGAATCTGTACCTGGTATTACCGACGTAATTTGGTCTGTACCCTTAAAAGAGCTGATTATGGTACCCAACCCAAATGGTAAAGAGAGAGAGACAGAATTTGAACACTGATTTTAACAGTACATTTTCTACTGAAAGGGGAGGCACTAGCTCAGTCCATAGAGACTTGGCTTGGGAACCGGAGGGTGGCCGGTTCAAGTCCAGCATGGATGGAAGTTGGAGAGGTGCTAGTTCACCTCCTGGACAGATGTAGATTCCTCTCTCATCCTCATTGTCCCAGTGGGTTTTAGTACAGCTCATACTGTAGCTGTGTCCACAGCCAAGGATCCTTCAGTAGATCCAGACAGTAGATCGTTCTCTGTCCAGTTGAATTTCTTGCTGCGCCATTTCGCCTGGTGCCAGTGATTGCATGATAACAGTATGGCCTTACCTCTCCTCAGCAGTGTTGCCACACTGTTTGGAGGCAGCTGCCTCTGTTCCCACACTGTCTGAGAGCAACTACAGCTGTTTGTGATTTATTCAATGAGATATATTCTGGTTTATCAGCTGCATAATTTTAAAATAATTAATTAATTACCGTCACCGTGAGCTTGGAAATCTCACGGTGTCACCACTGTGGCTTTACTCCACCACGGTATACCGCAATACGGTATACCTTTTCACCCCTAGTTTCGATGAATGAATACATTGACCTACTGAATCTGACTGATGTTTTCTGTTGGGATCACTCATTAAAATAACCTGTGCAAATTTTATTAGACCTTAAGTATTTTTGCAATCTGCCCTGAAAAGACAGAGACTGAACAGGAACACTGTGGTTTGTGGTGTTTCAGGAGGAAACTCTCAGTTATTGTCTCACATCACTTTCACTTTGTCTCCATCAGCTTTGAATGAAGACAAAACAACAGACTGGATTTATTCTTTATTTCAACTTTCAGCTTCTTTACACATTAGATTGTTATTGCTTCAAACATATGTAAGAGATTTAAATTTAAATACACATGTAGAAGGAACAGACGTGATGAGGACAAACCCTCAGAGGGACTCGATCAGGACGCTCTCCAATGAACTGCTAGTTCAGATCAAGACAATCAAAAAGCACAGAAAGCTACACAGCAGCAGATCAACACGTCCGTCCACTAAATATGTGAATACAAGGAGGACGAGTGGATTCACACTTTACAAAGATGAGACGTGATAAAAACAAACCTTCARCAGCTTCTTCAACTGTCCAGGTTCCACATTTCAAATGTGACCAAACATCCCATAATACTGATGCTGTGTAAATCAAACCAAACATGGAGACAAAAGAAGTTCAAGATTTAAACACAGAATCTCAATCACTGCTTTTAATGACTCCAGACTATTTGAGTTTACACAACTCAGCTGAGGATCCAGAAGACCAAACCCCAACTCCAGCATAGAGAGGCTGAGTGAATGTGGTCTGGACTCTGTGGAGGAGAGTCATGGTGTCAGAGACGCTGTAGAAGGACAGAACACCTGCACTGTGATTCAGGTACACTCCTACTCTGGAGGACGGAGGACCTGA